TTTAACAAGTCACTATTTAGCCTTAGTAAAAAGGGGTTGAAACATAAAGAAAGAGAACTTAATGATTAATGGATAGCGATATAACACAAAGATCAACAAAGAATTTGAAACGCAAGAAAAAAGGAAGGAAAAATGGCAAAAGATAGAAGAATTTGGTTGGTTGGTTGGTTTTGTTTAGCGGCATATCAACATCTGTATGGGTTATTTAATGCCGAAATCTAAATATTTTAACGCAATTATAAGGCTTCAACTAAATATATTTTGAACAAAATCGTATTCTTTCAATCACAGATAAAATATATTGTTGTTCATTTTGCTATAAAATGTGTTGTTGGTAATTCTACTATACAATGAATAACCGTTTTTTTTTGTTTGTTTTAAAACGTATTACTTGGAATTTTACTATAGAAAATATATTGATGGCATTTTTATAATTTAATAATGTTTTGTTTTTGTCTATTAGTTCGCTATTTTCCCATAACTGGGGCTCCTAACAGTTTCTACTATCCTGGGTCATGGAGGACCCGAGAACAATAGCAATTGTGAGGTGGTTCCACGTTCCTCAAAGCCCCCACTCTCCGGATCAGAGGCCTTGCTGCCGGATGTAGTTTATCGTCATACCCAGGACTAGCAATTAAGAGTTGGTTCCACGCTCCTCAAAACTTCCAGTCTCCTGATCAAACGATTTGCCGCCGGATGACAGAAGAACACTGAAACATTTTTTCGAGGGATGAGAGGGAGATGGAATTTTAATCGGATCGAAAACTTTTCACATGTGCTCTTCTATATAGATATGCACTTTTATATGGATATATAATTGTATGATTATCTGCTGACATTTTTTTCTGTTTGCATATATATACATCATGTCTCCAAGTAATCTTTCTCAGTTCATATCAGACTAGCTTTGTCTGTTGGTCTTTCGAGATAGATAGATAGATAGATAGATAGATAGATAGATAGATAGATAGATAGATAGATAGATAATGAACAGAATTGTATATATATATATATATATATATATATATATATATATATAGAGAGAGAGAGAGAGAGAGAGATTTCCTATAATGAGACATAACGATGTTTAATTTGTTAAATTCTTCTAATAAAATTTTCACCATCCATATCATTGCAAATAAAAAGAACAAATTAAATATTAAAGAAAATATTATCACAAGAAGACATACTATTTAACACATTCAAGAACTTGAAAAAAAAAACAGATATTGTACATTTCTCTGACAATGACCAGATGTAAAATCGAATATCCAGTATTAGCAAAAGAGGGATGAAGCATAAAGAAAAAACTTAAGGGATAGCAATATAATAGGAACAAAACAAAGAATATGAACTCCACCAAAAAAGACATAAGTAATTGTGTAATTACATTAAACATTGAAACGAACAAAGAAATTTAAAGAAAAAAACGTTTACAAACAAGGAAAGGAATACAAACTAAAATATCCTTAAAGAAAATGTATGAAAATCTAAAATAAATAAAATCATGATGAGAGAAACAAGCAAAATAGGAACAATGTAAAGACAACAGACTAAAGAATAAAACTGATGAACAATGTAAGTAAAAAAAAATAAAATAAAATAACTGAAAGAGAACAAAATAAAAAAGGCTTAAGAAAGAAAGAAAGAAAAAAGAAAGAAAGAAAGAAAGAAAGAATAAATTAAATATAGCAATGAAAAGAAGATATGGCATAAACAGTGAGAGGAAGAAGACGAATGAACGGTGGGTAAAGTTGATAGAAACTTTCGTCCATTTTCCTTGGTTCCCCACTCCTCAAGGGTGAAACTTAACGTTAGCCATTTTAGAAAATGGACTCGTAGAAAATGCTGCTCGTTCGAAGTGAAGGAATATTGCCGGTCAGCGTTTATCGTCGCTATAAAGTCGTCAGCCGTCGAACGACAACATTTATGAAGGCCCTCATAAGACACCGTCAAATAATGAGCCGACACTGAGAAGAAATAGAGCGAGTGAAACACTCAGAAAATGTGTATTGGCTGGATAGAAAAGTTAAGCGATGTGTCGAACTTCGTATTTGTTTCACCGCGTTGATGTAAAGACGTTGTTATTTTGAGGCACAAGTGATTGTAGCTACTTCTACTCTTACTGTCTTAAATGTCTATAAATCTTTCTTTCCTACCTTTTCTTCCAGTTCATCAATACACAAAAAATGAAGACGGAGCAAGGAAATTGCAGATTTAGCAAATACATAAGTAACTGGTTTCTAAAGGAAATATAAAATATTTCTTCTGCAAAATTCGAATTGTGACAATTATCAGAACACGAACGCCTAAATGCCAACTATACGGGTATGAAACATTATGATTGGACTACCTACATAGAGGGTGCCGGGAGGTGTGATATTTCACGTCGATCTCAAGTATTCTTTTGTATGACCTGCGGATAAAATCTTTTAAGTCGGGTTTTCTAAGCGGCATCCACTTGAGCGAAAGGGAACAAAAAGAATAAATCAGTTAATGAAAACTGTTGGGGTCAAGTGACAGCAAAAGCGGATATTGAGGATTTCCGGTCCCAGACTTATATAGTTATATTAGTTGCTCCGGTAGCTCCGTCACCGTCATTTCGTGTTGCAAGCTTCATGATGTTGAAATGGGAAGAGAGTTGGTAGGAGGAAGAGAAGAATTGATCAGTTAGTCAGACTTGACAGTTGTCTCAAGTGTCACGTAACTACCCACCCAGGGCATAAAGCAGTGAAGCCCTAAATAAATACATAAATTTAATGAAATCAGGGTATGATTTGTTATGTCGCGCCATTTTTTGATAGACACCGACACGAACAAGGATGGAGAAGCGACGTGAGGTACTCTTTGGCCGGTCGGTGGAAAACTAGGTGAGAACACCGTTGTATGTTTACAGATAAACAATATAATATCGGTTTCTCTTCTTTTTTCTTTTTTAATAATGCTTACCCAATAGGAGGCCCAAGAGCAATTCAAGGTAGAGGCTTACTAAATGGGATGTGTGGTATGCGGTTGCATCTCTCTCTCTCTCTCTCTCTCTCTCTCTCTCTCTCTCTCTCTTCGCGAAATGCTTTGGGTCCAGAGTTGAAAGCGATGAGACTCCAACAGAGAGAATTTTACTTAACTATTTTATTAACGTTCATGTCGACATGTACTAACTATCCGGTGGGGGTCGTTCCCCATCACCGGGGAGCCGTTTCAGAAACAAAAGTGAACACGTCTACATTGCTTTACGTGTAACAACCAACTACCTGAAAGAACTTCAAAATCGACTACCTTACTTAGGCTTGCATCTGACCTCGAAGGTCAACCTCCTGAAGTCGCAGCTGAGATACAATTCCCTCTAAAAGTAATAGTCTGCTAAAGTATTATTTAACAATGGATGTAAGTAGAGGAATTATGAAATTAAGATTTTGAGGATACGGGTGTGAGCAATAACGACATTTTAGAGCAAATGGAAATAAAAAGACACTTATATTTTACATCAGGAAGAGATAGTTGAACTTTCTAGGGAACATAATGAGGAAAGAGGGTTTGGAAAATTTGATACTCACAGACAAGTTGAAGGCAAGAGGGACAGAGGAAAACAACGCATAACTTTCCTAACAACCTTGAGTAAATGGATAGCGAAGTAAGATTTAGGTACCTCTTAATTGCTCCTGCTCCGAGCTCCACACTGACTAGGGGTGGTAGCACCTGTTAGGGTCCCAGATATGGGCAAATAGTTAACCCCACAACTGGGGTTAAATCACTATGGAAGTATAAAAAAGCATTTTTATAGTAAAAATAGCAGCAATATATTTTTGTAAAAGAAATTACCAGGAATACAGGTTTTGGAAAAGAAATTACTAATGCTCCCAAGAGAATTAAAATTCAGCATTAAAATGACCCATAATAAGTTGATATGCCATTAAGCAAACAAACAAAAAAGTAAGTTTTAGGAGGGATAACAAATAGACATTTAAAGTGCAGGAAATTGTGGAGGGCCATGATCGTCCTGAAGAGTCACGATACATAGAATTTCCAAATGATTAACAAAGAGATTTAATTCAAACTCACCGAACTTTATAATTTTTTATCTAAGGTATTCGGCTGGGGAACAAAGCATTATCGATTTCAAGTCTGTATAGATGTTACCAAGTACACCTATTTTATTATTCTCCATAAACTCTTGATGTATCGTCTCACTGTCTTAAATATTAGTCGTTGAGACATTATAGCAAGGATAACATATTTGCTTTACGCTTTTTCATAACTTAATAGAAGATGACTTTCATGTGACTGCCAGATGTATACAACCGCTTTCGCAGATCAAGGATTGAAAATGGTTTCGAAAGAATGAAGCCTGTAAGACTTAGAGAGGAATATCCTTATTCGAACTTTGGACTGGTGCTACAGAACCACAAAAAAAAATCTATACCAAATAACAGAAACTGCTTCACTTGAAGACTTTCTCCAACAGCAACTACGAAAATTAATAGTATATGTAAAATTAATAAATAAAATAATTCGATAATCAAGATGCTAACATTCAACACAACGTCGAACAAAAAGTTAAGAAAGCCTCTATGAATACCGGAAAGAGAAATAAAAATATATGAACTTGAGAAAACTATTTAGCTGAAAAATTGTTTTAATAAAAAGATTTCATAAATTTCAAGCGAAAGCAGCCGATTTAGGAAACAGCTAATATTATCATTACCATATTTAAACTGATATCACAAAAAACAAATAAACTGGAGCTTTAAATTAGATAAATGATGGAATTGAAGCGCGTGTTATTGATATTCTTTTAAATATTGACATCAGAACATTTATACGAATTTTCCAAATACTTTAAAATGTATTTACAAAATGTCGATAAGCAGGATCGAGGATGTCAATCAAAGAAAAACTTAAATGTGATCTTGTTAACCAAATCAACAGATGTTTTTGTTCTTATTTATGGGATAATTCTTATGCCAATTAAGGAGGAATTTTTATCGACATATACGTAAATTATGATCAAGAAAAAAATAATGTTTCATGAAGTAGCTAGCCATTTCCAATTTCCATTTTCCCATTTCCCTTTTCCCATTTCCCTTTACCCTTTTCCCATTTCCCTTTTCCCATTTCTTTTTTCCCTTTTCCCATTTCCCATTTCCCTTTTCCCATTTCTTTTTTCCCTTTTCCCATTTCCCTTTTCCCATTTCCCATTTCCCTTTTCCGATTTCCCTTTTCCCATTTCCCATTTCCCTTTTCCCATTTCTTTTTTCCCATTTCCCTTTTCCCATTTCCCTTTTCCCATTTCCCTTTTCCCATTTCTTTTTTCCCATTTCCCTTTTCCCATTTCCCTTTTCCCATTCCCCTTTTCCCATTTCTTTTTCCCTTTTCCCATTTCCCTTTTCCCATTTCTTTTTTCCCTTTTCCCTTTTCCCATTTCCCTTTTCCCTTTTCCCATTTCCCTTTTGCCTTTTCTCATTTCTTTTTTCCCTTTTCCCATTTCCCTTTTCCCATTTCCCATTTCCCTTTTCCCATTTCCCTTTTCCCATTTCCCTTTTGCCTTTTCCCATTTCCCTTTTCCCATTTCTCATTTCCCCTTTCCCTTTTTCCATTTCCCATTTCCCTTTTCCCATTTCTTTTTTCCATTTTCCCATTTCCCATTTGTCTTTTCCCATTTCCCATTTCTCTCTTTTCCCATTTCCCTTTTCCCTTTTCCCATTTCGCTTTTCCTACAAAATTATTGCACCAAAATAAGACAGACATAATTCTAAAGAATGTTATTGTGATTGAAAATATTGGAGATCATCTTTTTAATCAATGTTGGATATAAGACAACAACTTCAGCACGCTAGTTGGTAGTAGTTTCTCTAGCAAATAGGTATGGAGTTGTTTGTTCTACACTCTATCGGTTTGAACTTCTTTCCTTCTAAACTGGTTAACAACCAAAGTCAGAGAGCCCTGTCTTCACTGCTATTAAAACCTACCTGAGGAGGGAAGATATGTATTTATAACTTTCTTAAAGGTATTCTACTCGAAAGCGAAATTATTTAGTCTTCTTTTTCTATGTGCTGTGTCCTGTCAGGAAATTGACGACCATGGCTCCTATCTTTTATAGCTCTTAATAAAGGTTTTCTTTTTGTTATCTCTCCAAAACATTGTTACGCCATTCATTTAATCAAGTTCGCTAGGTAAGTTATGCACTGTTTTTTGTCTGTTTGTTTTTTTTTAGTTTTTTAGCTTTATTGGGGTTTTTTTGTTTGTTTATTTTTTTTTTTTTTGTCCCTCTTGCCTTCAATCTTTCTAGAAAATTCAACTGTCTCTTCCTCTTTCTTGGGTATAAGCCCCATTTTTCTTTCCATTTTCTCTATAACATTGGCGTTGCTCACATGCTCAGTTCATGCTATTCTCAGGATCCTTCTGTAGAGCCACATTTCTGTTGCTTCAAATCTCTTCTTCATCTGTGTGGAGATTGGCCAGCATTTACTGCCATGGAGGAAAACTGATATTACATAACAATTTAGTTTTTAATAATGAAGAATAAAAAGTGGCAAAGTAAGATTGATTGATTCGTTTTTTACAGATTATTAACCCTTTTCAGGATATTTAAAGCCAAATTCCAAGATATTTTTCAAAATAATAATGTAGCTGGAGGGGGAAGGATATTTGCGCGTAAGTGAATATAAAGAATCTAACTGGAATTGGAACTCGGCTCTTTGATAAAAATCCGAGCCAGTATCCATTACACCACCCTCACAGCAAATTAAATCAACATTCTGAATAATTGAAATACACGGCAATGGCTGGTATCACAAGGCTGTGTATCCCGCGTCTAGAGAAACTAAAGGCCGAGTAAAGACTTTAAAACTCGTAACTTACAAAATTAGAGACATCAAGTACAGTGGATGATTTCCTCCGCCCCAACTTGGAAAAAAGATCAAGATTGATTATTGCGAACCAACAAAGCGATGGTTTATAAATTTGATAGTAACAGCCTTCATACGGACAGAAAATGACAACAGGGGTAAGACAAGGATGTGTCTTCTCACCGGATTTATTCAATTTATGCAACGAGGCAATTCTGAGAGAATTAGAAGTCCTAAAATGATTCATCATTGGCAGCCACAATCTTACCATAAGATATGCAGATGACACAGTGCTGATAGCAGACAACTTACTCATCGCCAAGACCTCATTTAAAACAGTATGAACCGAACAAGAACTAATGCCTATGGACTTAGCTATCTGCTGGACAGCAAGATGCCTGACATCTAAAATCATATGGTGAATGGTATCAACTTGTTCATCAGTGGTTGAGATTTTTAGAGGACCTGACCTGAGTTCCCAGTAAGTGTCTTTATTGATTTCCTTGGGTGCCATGCCTTTTTTTTTCAGATACATTATGACTGGTTGAGCCTCTGTTTTGTCCATTTTGAAATTTGTCGCACACCTCTCACGTCTGCACAGAAATTAAGACAGAAATCTGAATTAGTTTCACTAATTTTATAAGAATTGGTAGTTTGTTGCCACAACTACAAGGTTCAGCTCTGCTCTTCTTTCTGGGTGAGGCTTAGAACTATTTGAACAACACTCGTATGTCTGGGCTTGTGCCGAACCATCACTTTCTAGCCTAACAGGGTTCAAAGTCGTTTACACGTTCTTGTGAGTGACGAAATATTTTCGCTACATACTCTTTTCCAAAGATGAAACATAGTGTAGTATTTAGCCAATCTGTATCGATGAGAAATACAAATTAAACTGACCCTGTACTTTTTTACTAAAATCAAATGCAACAAAGACAACAACAAGAGAAATAATCAAATAGGCAGATAATTGTTTTAACAAAAAGTATTTTTATATAAGTACACACGTTGCTTAAAACACTTTAGAGATCTTGGTTGTGTTATTTAGGGTAATATAAAAGGTGTTATGCTATAGATCTGGTAACAAATTAAACAGTTTATGTTGAATGAAATAGGTTGCGTGATTTACTGTAACCTTGTCTCGCTTCGATTGATATAGTTACGATTTCCTTTATGTAGTTAAGATATTGAGTGAGTTGGTTTCTGAATCTCATCTTAGTTGAATTGGTCACTAGATGAGCTGATGTTGAAAAGAAATTGAATTCCACAAGCCGGTTGATGTTAATAAAAATTAACTTTTAGCGACGAAGTTGGGTTTCATGGATTCGTGTGACGAGTTGATTATTTTAAGGACTCATTAAGCCGTGTCGAAGTTTCATATTTATGGATTTTCTTGATCGCGTAGGGGCTCGAGAACATGTTTACAATTTTTTTTTTTTTTTTTTTTTGGCATGTTGTACTATGAACAGGTCAACTCGAGGTCAACCGTGCGGACGTAGGCAGAAACATGACATTATTATTTATGGACCAATCAGAAAGCATTGTTTCGTACTGAACTCTGGGGCCGATTTTAATGGGTTCAGCACAAACAGAATAATTAGCTGTAATCAACTTTTAACAGGTTTAAAACAGAGAATGTAGAAATCTAATTCTATAATAGCAAGCCTCTCTCTCGCTACTCTATCGCTATTTCCATTGAAATTTTTGAACGAGCTACAGACTTTGGTTCCACCAGTTACTAAGTTTTCAGACGCGCCATGTCACTTATACAAGGTGAAATCATCTTCACTCCTTTTGTACTCTATTGGTAAATAGGGAGTTCTCCCATGGCAGTTTCTTTCCAGCTTCTTTGTAGAGCAAAATCTCAAGAGGATTACTACCCGGTTACTACAATCTTAACTCTGCATTAGTCACATGTGTTTTGTTACCCCTAATTTTTTAAAGTACTCGTAATTCCTAGTTAGTTTGCTCTTTCCAACTATTCTCCTAACTCAGTGAGGGTGAGTATCATGAGGTGTGGTGCAGTTGTTGCTCAGTTTTCGTGAGAGGCAGACACCAAAGGACAATCCATTTTCGGAAAAAATGACGCAGCGATAACATCTTCAAGTTCAACGTCAACCGTTATCTATCCTATATATTCACATAATAAGCACTTTACGTTCAAATAACCAACTTATTCTGTATCCCTCTAGCTTGAGTGATCTTGGGTCTTGTATTGGGTGAACATTTAATAGAAAAAAACGACAAAACTATTACTTTATGCTGTTGATCTATGAAAACCCTCAACTGTGTTTTCAGGGTTGGTTATTTACTTATACATATTGCATTCTGACAGAGTTTACCTTTCTTTGCATTAAAATTCACCGAGGCGTCTCCAAATAAAAAGCAAGTAGCTTTCACCTCCGTTGATTCGAAAACATTTATCATAGTCTCTGGGCTCTTAACTGTCGACCTTCTTCGAGCACATAAGCGAACAAATTACAAAAGGTCTGGGAAAAGCGGAAAAATATAAAAAATTCGCTTCGATATTGTTCTCAAAGCTGCCACTGATACAAATTACGAAATTCGCCCTCGCTTTAAATATTGCTGCCACATCTGCTCTGCTGCTGCTGCTATATGTTTAGAGATCATTGATAAATTCCAAAGAAGAATCTGCAATGTTATTCGTCCTGACCTGGTATCTCGGCTTCAGTCCCTTTACCACCGCCGTAACGTAGCTTCCATTCGCCTTTTCTATAAATATTTTCATGGCAATTTTTCTTATGAATTTTTCTCTGTGATACCTAGACTTGATGAATTTAAGCGCAGTATGATATTAACGGGAAGGTCTCACCAACTTGCAGTTTAAATGGCTAGATATAACCGTAAGTTCTATGCTAACAGTTTCTTCTATCGCACTTCTCGTTTGTGGAACTCTCTTCTCGTTTCTTGCTTCCCCGTCAACTTGGATCTTCAAAAATTTACATGTAATCGTTATCTTTTGCCTTCTTAATTCTTATTCTTTTATTGTCCTCTCTCCTTAATAGTAGTTTTTCTCATATTCTTTAACATTCACTAACACTTGGTGTCCTAATGTCTTTATTGCCTTGCTTCTGGATGAAATGATTTTAAAAATATCTTGAATATAATATTCAACAAAGGTAATAATACAACATGGTTTCTCATTTATGAATACTTTAGTCTGTAAACTGGAAAATTAATTTATATTTGTCAATTAAATAATGTAAGTATGTAAATTAATTTAAAATTACGTTGGGTCACTTTCACACTAAACCGTCCTCCTCCCCCATTATGCTTTTCTGGTGAGGAAAGTGGCTCGGTACTATGCGTGATTAAAAACAAAACCTGTCAAAGGGTGGATTATTAAACTTATTGTAGGGTCAACGACCATCTATTGCAATGAGATAGTTTGCACTCCATGGCTAAGTATGCAACTATTGCGGTGATAACAATGCATTGCTGGGCTCAGAGCTTCCTAAACAGAAGTCAACAGCCAGGGTGAATGATTCCATCAATGGAATCAACGGCTACATGTCCGTGATCCAGACGAGCCTTCAAGTTGAAGGATATCGGCTATAGTTTGACCTGGAGAGGGATGGGTTCAGCTAAGTCTTCTTGACGCTACGCATGACTATTTATCTTGCTTTCAACTCATATATATGGAAGGACCTAGACAGATGCTCAGTTGTACAACGATCTACCGCCAAATTTGGTCATGGCACTGATGATGATGATGATAATGAGGAGGAGGAGGAGGAGGGGAGGATGGAAATGATGATGATTGGTTTATACAAAACAACAATCAGATTCATTTTTAATGTTATTCAAGCAGATTATTCTGACAGAAATAGAAAATCATTAGCATAAAACAATCAGATGAAACTCGAACCGTATGTTACATGGAC